GGCCTCCATCAGCTGAGGGACAGGACCCCAGCTCCCCCATGTGGTCCCGAGGGACATTAGAGGAGTGACTTATGCTCTGTGATAATGTGTGTCACTCCTAGGACAGAGTGGAACTGCCCCATTGGTTTCCGAGGTCAACTTACACAGGGGTGGAGTCTAGCCTGTCCCTCAGGCCATATAGCCAATGCTGCCTCTGGAGGATTCAGGGAACTCCTGTTTTCCTCCTTGGAGGCAGGACCCACACTGCTTCATCTTCCTGCTGACAAGCCAGATGGAGCTATGCTGATGGAGCCAGAGCCCTGGAGCTGGAGGAGCCACATGGAGACCCACACCAGCACTGAGATGCTTCCACTGCCACTGGATTCATAAGACCTTCTACCCACTGGCCTGTGACCTTCCTGCATTTGGCATCTTTGCATGCACTGCATGAATCTAAAGAATGTATGGACTAGTATCAGGCATATGGGCTAATATTGGACTCATGGGCTTGATCTGGACTGGGCTGTTTCCTCAATATACAATTGCTCTTTTATATAAAACTCTTATACACACGAGTCTCCCTGAGTTTGTTTCTTTAGTCTACCTGGACTAATACACAAAGCTGTAAATCATTTCGGTAACAGATGCCCTCATCTCTCCCTTGGAGCAGCTGGTGGACTCGATCCGCTGGCCGTGGGGTTAGCAGTAGGTATAACCTGGGCTCCAGATTCCTGCTCCTAGCCACTCTATCCTGAGCAAGAGAAGCCCAGGCTCCGCTTCCTGGGGAATCTGAGTCAGGAGGGACCCTCGGGGACATGGTACCCAACAGGAGATGGCCAGGACCACTAAGGAGGGCAGCCCGGCCTCCACACCCTGCCCACCCCTCTGAGATGCTAGGTGCTTGTCTGTTTCCTGCATGTGACACTGAGGGTGGGGAGCTGCCAGGCTGCTGCGAGGAGAGACCTCTGGCCAAAGAACTCATTGCCTTTGGACAAGGCTGTGCCTACAACTCACTCTCTCACCACGAGTCTAGAGCCCCGTGAGCCTTTGTTCTTCAACGCAGCACAAGTCCGGACCAAACCCAACCCACTGCCGCAGGGCTGAATCGGATTCTAGCCACCTGTAGGGGACAGAGAAGTGCTCTATAGCGTTTCCCTGGGGACTGTGAGGCTTTACAGGAGCAGGCAGCCCATCTTTCTCCCTTGGGCTTAAGTTTCGAGTACAACCGATTACATCCCCTATCTCCATTCCAGGGGAACACACGGACTATTGGAGCTGGGAGGCAGCCTAGGCTGCACCCTGCCCTGCAGAGTTGGGGGCAAGTTCAGCTGGCCGAGCTGCTGTGCGGGCCCTTAGGTGCTGTCGAGTCGGGGTTGCCTCACAGTGACTTGACGTGCAACAGCGTGAGCCACACCAGCTCCTGAGTCATCCTCACAAGGATGCTTATGTCTGGGCCCATTGTCGTGGTCACCCTGCAACCCAGCTTGTGAGGACCTGCCCTTCCCCCCACTGTTCCTCCACGTCACCAAGCACGCTGTCCCTCTCCTGGGGCGGATCTCTTCGGACAACATGCTCCAAGTACCTGAGACAAACTTTCGCCGCCCTGGCCTCTGGGGAGCTCTCTGGCTGAGCTTCTTACAGGACAGATCTGTTTGTTTGGCCGGCTGGCCAGCCGTCGAGGCTGGAATTCACCCGAGGTCTGCTGCACAGCCAGTGTCTGCCGCTCTCACTTGCGGATCTTCCCTAATCTCCCCCGTGATGCTCTTGGGACCGTCACACTTGCTGGTCCACAATCCACAGTGAGAAATACATTTCCCACACGTTATCAGGCACCATCGCAAACATTTAGACATGTTGACAGATTTTTGCAGCGACCGTTCACATGTGGACCACCCCCACCCCCACGGCTCTGTGAGCAGTGTTTCCATACAGTGGAGGACCCTCCACAAGGTGGACTGACACGGTAGCTGCAGCTTCGGGGCAAGAGGCTAAGCACGGGGCAGGGCTGGGTCGCTAGGGGTCGGAACTGACTGGACGGAGCTGGTGTTCGCTGGGGCGGACTAGAGAAACACGTCCATGGACACTCATATGTGTGTAAGAGAGAGCTTTATATTAGTCATTGTATATTGAGAAAACGCCCAGCCTGGTCCAGACCAAGTCCATAAGTCGGATATTAGCCCACATGTCTGATATTAGCCCATAACTTCTTTTCAGACTCACGCAGTACGTGCAATGATGACAAATGCACAAAGATCCCAGGGCCAGTGGGTGGAAAGTCCTTTGGGTCCCATGGCAGTGGTGGACGCATCTCCAGGGCTCTGGCTGCCATCGGCATGGCTCCAAGTGGCTTGTCAACAGGAAGGTGTAACAGAGAGGGATGGAGAGAGAGTGGCCCGCCTCTTCTGATGTCGGAATCCAGAGGAAGTTCCCAGAATCCTCATGAGAAGACCACGCCCACAAGGAGGGAACATCAGCATGTGACCTGATTGACAGGCTAGACTCCACCCCTTCATTCTTTTTTTATCCAGTTACTACCACCACCACCCCTCTCTGTGTGTACCCAACCCTCCACCTGACTCACTCTCGGCCTGCGTGCCCCCCCAGTGCCAGCAGAGAGTACTTCTCACCCCCACCCGGTGGGATAGAGGTCAGTACTTGTTTATAGCTTTTTAAAGATAAATTTACACACAGTGAAATGCGCACATCTTAAACTTGTCAAGCCATAGGTTTCGATGACCAATAACCAGAGACACCTGTGTAACTGGGAGCCTTCAGCTCCACCCCCATGCCCCAAAGGTCCCTTCTGCC